CATTCTACTTCCTCTGGCAAGGTCAGACTACATCCAACGCTCAGTTTGGTACCTGATTTTTCCTTCAATGTGGACCAGCAGGAAACAAACAGGAAGTGACTATGCTGACCACAGAGAAAGACACACACGCCTGTCTGGAACACTACAGAACAAGATGCTTTTAGATACTAAGCCTGTGTTGAAATTTTTCACGGTGCTTTGCAAGAAGTGTGTCTGAAGCTGTCAGAGGTGGGCCCTGCTGTAACCTGGACTTACTAGCATAGTACAGGTCATTATTTATGTTTCTAAAAATCAGTAAACTAATCCCTTAAGAAATTTTCCTACTATATAATATTGTCATTTTTCTTCTTTCTTCTTCTTTCTGGTACCATGGATTAAATCCAGGGGTACTTAACCACTGACCACATCCCCAGCCCTTCTCCCTTCTTCTTTCTTCTGAAAGTATTAAGAGCTATCAGATTAAAGAAAAACAACACCCAGGGCTGGGGATGTGACTCAAGCGGTAGCGCACTTGCCTGACATGCGTGTGGCCCGGGTTCGATCCTCAGCACCACATACAAACAAAGATGTTGTGTCCGCCGAAAACTAAAAAATATTAAAATTCTCTCTTAAAAAAAAAAAAAGAAAAAAGAAAAATAACACCCAAACTACATATCATTTACAAGCAAAAATATTATATAAATAGCTGGGCACAGTGGCACATACCTATAATTCCAGTGGCTCAGGAAGATCACAAGTTCGAGGCCAGCCTCAGCAACTTAGCAAAGCCCTAAGCAACTTAGTAAGGCCCTGTCTCAAAATAAAGAATAAAGGGCTGGGGATAAAGCTCAGTTAGTAGAGTGTTTGCCTCACATGCACAAGGCCATGAGTTCAGTCCCTAGCACCAAAAATAAATAAAGAATAAAAAGGGCTGGGTATATAGGGCTGGTTAAAGTGCTTCTGGGTTCGATCCCCAGAACTAAAAAAAAAAAAAATTATATGAATAAGTCATTTGACATAGTCCAGGCATCTCAATCAGCCACAAAGCCTTACCTAGGCACTGACATGTGGTTCCCATGCTTGCAATTCTTAGACAACATGTTACTTAACTCTGAATCAGCAACATTTACTTGTACTATTCATCTGCATTGGCTCCAAGAGGTCCTTGTTGACCTACTCCTAGACTAAGTGGTTGTGAGGAAGAAAAACAGCAGGTGGAAGCTTAATTAAGGCTCCAAAGTTTGGTGGCAAAGAAGCAGTCATAGTTCTGAGATGGAAAAACCTTTAGGAGAAGAGCTCATGACCTTTAAGTAACATTAGCAAGACCCTAATAAAAGTTCATGGTTGGATAGAGGATGCAGCTCAGTGTAGAGCACTTGCCTAACATGTATGAGGCCCTGGGTTCCATTCACTGTGACCACAAAAACAAACAAACAAAAACCTTCAAGGTCCAGCACCTTATAAATAATTTAAAAAGGCAATTTCCTCTACTGACCATGGTTTGATGTTGCTAAACAGAGGCAGCACCAGAGAGCTCTTGACGCTTTGAGAAGCGTAACAAAGACCCTCCAGTTGAGTGCAGGTAGGTTCATCCTACAACAAGCTCCCCTTGGCTATAATTTTGTAAAGCAAAAAATCAAGGTTCTAATTAGGGCAATGGTGTTTTCATTGGATAAAGCAGGTTTTTTTTCAAGGTATAATTTTCATACTGCAACATTCACCTTTTTTGGTGTATAGTTCTATTGGTTTTGACAACTTCATATAGTAATGTGACCACTACCAGTGACGAAATAACACAGCTCTAACATCTCTCCAAATTCCCTCAGCCTTTGCAGCCTGCCCTTCCCTGAATGATCTGTGTTCTGTCCTGATAGTTCTGCTTCTTCCCAAATGCCACACAAAAGGTATTATACAGTACATAGATTTTTGAGCCCAGTTTCCCTCACTTAGCATAATGCAATTGAGATTCATCCACCTTGTTGGGTAGATCAGTAGTTTGCTCCTTTTTATTACAGCAGTTTCTTTAGGCAAAATAGCTTAGTGATCAATAATCAAATGAAATAAAAATATGACCTAGATACATAACCATAACTTTCCAGTGAATTCAGAGTCACATGAAAGTTTCTACATTACATGAGATACGCATGTAAAATGTCTCTATTCATATATACACTCCCCAAAAGCCCACCTTGTAGAGCTTAGGGAGCACAATTCAGACCACAATATTATGACAACAGCAGTAATGATTTAAGACTCAATGCATTCATTACATTACCTTTGTTGTGGTTTACCTGCCAAGGACTCTCTGGACTCAGCTGCTTACAATATAGTTTTCTAAATAAAGAATAGATTGAGGAAATTGATATTTTTCAGGAAAAAAAATATACAAAAAACGTCCAGGTGGTAATCACATGCAGCGACTCCTCAGACTGGGATTTGGGCAGAGTTCACGATTCTAACTATCATGATCACCGCCAAGTCATCTGAGCCTCTCTGGGTTTCATTCCCTTCCACAGCACCTGTCTCCTTCCCCAATAAGGAAGAAGCGTCAGTCAGGATTTGACTGCCTCTATGGTAATGCCATAGTATTGAACACTTGAAAAACAACATAACAACTTAAGAACCACACTCTCTGTTGCTAAGGTATGCAGAAGACACCTCTAAGTGTAGATGTTAGAGCAGATGAGTAATACTAGCATATCTCAGTGGAAAGATCTTTAGGCACCTTGAGATTGCAGGGTAGACCAATATTCTAATTAGGTATTTAACTGGGGTCCTCATTCTTCCTACCCCCAAATTACAGCTTTTAAACAAATTAAGAAAGTAGTTTTAGGACAGAACACTATGCTGTCATTGATTCCATCTGTTACCACACCTTTTCCCCAGGCATAGGTAATATGCTTTAAGCTTGATCAAGCTGTTTAAGGCTCAGACAGGGAAAAATTGAGTCCATTTTATGAAAAAWTTTTAAATAAACATGCAAAAAGCATGACTAGGAATCAGATAAATATAATGATCACAAATATTTTACTCTTTTAACCAATATAACTTCCCTTATATATACAAAAGTAAGCTTTTTTCCTATATCTAATCTTATCTTTTATAAGTAATTTCCCTCCACCCCCACCATGGGGTGTCTCTCTAACTACCACTGGTTAAACCTTCTTCCCATTTCCCTTAAAAAGAACAGTAATAAAGAGTTAAATTAGCAATGCACTAATAGGAGAGGGCATCTGGAATGAGCTGTAGTTGGGGCTGCAGAATAATCTGAAAGAGATCTTGAAGGCAAGTGAGGAGTAAATGGCACTAAACAGCAGGGGGCTTTTTTTCTTACTTTTTTGAAGGGGAGTTTCCTGGGCTAAAAAGGGGAGGAAAGACAGATCCTGAAGGAGACAGTGGTATTTTCTTTGGGGAAGGGAGCCTGGCTACAATAAGATCTAAGCCCGTCTCTGGAAAAGGAGTTTGCATAGTTGGATAAAACATATTTTCTGGCAGAAACTTTGAAATTCTGAATTTCAGTTCGCTGTTGTCTGACAGGAACCTCAACTCTTCTTCAAGCAATAAAATATTATAGTCTATTATGATGAAGTTACATGTCACTTCATCAAATACCTGATTCTTCTGAACAAGGAAGAATCCTYTTCCTTTACTTAGCTGAGTAAATGTGTGTGCACACACAAACAGATCAAGTGCCATGTGTAGTCAATGAAGTTATTAATAGCTAATAAAGTATGTAGATTTTAGATATCTGCCTGAGTAACAGATGTCAGGTGTAAAATTATAACAAAGTAAGCTCACTAAGATCACTTTATTTTGTTACCAATAGCCTCCTTCTACTTACTCCTTCACAGTATCAACCTCTTCACCTTTACACAGCCTCTTCTAGAAAAGCAAAGCACAGTAAAAAGGAATGATGGAGAAATGAGTCTAAAACCTATAAGCTAAATGCTAACAGTGATGAAAACAGAAAAATAGAGTAGACTACTCAAACAGCACATCCCTGTGGATTAGTAAAGGGAGGTGGGATGAGGGATGTCCTGAAGGTGTCAGTGCAGTCACTACCACCCCACAGAAGTGAGCCAGAGTCTTCAGAAGGGTTCCTGTGACTTAGACAAAAGGTTAACAATAGAGTATTACTCAGCAGTTGAAAGAAAATTAAGGCTAATTAGCTCCAAGCTTTCATTTGACTCAAGATAAATTAAAAAGCCAACTGTGGCTATATTTTCCTCCCCTAGAACGTTCTCCCAATCAGTGACCTGATCTAGGAAAACAGGACTGGAATAAAAGAACAGGTCAGGAAGCTAGGTCTGAAAACACAGCCACAACTGTTTAAAGCTGGGGTCCCCCCCACGGGTGGGGGTCAACCAGACCTGGTGGCACACACGTGTAACCAGATACTAAGGCAGGCTAAGGCAGGGGATGGCATATTCAAGGCCAGCCTTGGCAACTCAGTGAGACCCTGTCTCAAAAATAAAAAATAAAAAGGGMTGAGGGTGCAGCTAGCTCAGTGGTAGAGTACCCCTGAATTCAATCCCTAGTACTGCCAAAAGAAAAAATCAATTTAAAGTTTGAAGAAAGTGGGCAAAACTGAAGTCTAGATAATTTACTTAACTTGAAAAACTCAAATAAATTTACTTTCAATCCTGCAGATTGCCCTTACTAGACTCCTTTTATCTTACAACAAAAAATCTTCAAATCAGTGCTTCTCAAAGTGTGGAACCCCAAGCAGCAGTGTCAGCACCACCTGGAAACCTCTATGAAATGCAAATTCTCAGGCTGCACCCCATACCGACTGATTCAGAAACTTAGAGGGCAGAATTCATTATCTGTCATATAGGGTCTGAAAACCTCTGCTTCCCGTGTCAAAGGCACAGGAGTTTGGATTTTTGGAACAAGTTACTTAAGTCTGAAGTGACAAAGGGACAAAGACAAGGAAAGTCTATTACATAAATAGTGTTTCAATAGCTTAATTTCTAGGTTAAGGCCCAACTTTAATACTTAGTGACYTCTATAAGTAGTACCTTCCAGATGTTTCAGGAGTGCTCTACTGCTGTTCCCATGAGCAGATATCAGAACAGTTTTTCCCTTTAGCACTTCAGGCGCAATCCTTTCATTCCAGTAGGGAAGGAGTCTCTCCAGGACATCCTTTAAGCTTTCAGACCGTGGCAGTTGATCCAAGGGTACATCGCATAATTTATACCTCCGGTCACTGTAGATTTCATGATAGTAGGGATGAGACTCCTCAATGGGAGGTGGGGTCACATTGTAGCTTCTTCTCCAGAGCCTCACCTGTTCTTCACCATGATTCAAAGCCATTTTCTCCCTGTTCAGCCCAATCAAGGCTCCATAGTGACGCTCATTCAGACGCCAGGAGCTTTCCACAGGAACCCATTCCTGCCCYAGCTCTTCCAGGATCAGCCAGGCTGTGTGGATGGACCGATTAAGGATGGATGTGAATACGAGATCAAACTCAAAGTTCAGTGATTTGAGCTGCTTCCCACAGTTCCGGGCTTCCTCCTCTCCTTYGCTGTTAAGTTTCTGATCCACCCAACTACAAAATCGGTTCTCCTTATTCCAAGCACCCTCTCCATGTCTTAGCATAATAAGTTTATACTTGGACATACTGATGGCTGTGGTTCCCTGACGTTTTTGAATGGGATTCTGTTTAAGGACAGCAATACATCTAGCAAGAGAAGAACAAAAAGCACAAGTTATATTCATTATTCAAATGACTACCTAGGAAAGGAAGCACAGTTTTACAACAACCAGTTTCTAAAATAAACTGAAATTCCTTTGAACAGTTTTGACGTCAGACATCCGGTATTCATCTACTGTAGTGCATACAAGCGTATTCTCCAGACAATTAATTACAGACAACATAGTTGACTTAAATTTTCTGATGGCTGGATAATGTTAATTTTATGATGTAAAACAACAGAACACTTCATTCTCATGGCATGCTGTGTTTCTGCCAGATAAAAAGATAGTTCACGCTTATAGTAGAGAGGATTCAATAGAATGAGTTATAGATGTCTAAAAACATGACTAGTAGCTGGGAACTCCCAGCTCCTAGCAGCTGACTCTACATCGAAGGCATGCTTCTTACTTTGTTTTTCCTCCAATGGGAAAAGAAATATTTACCAGCCTCACCTTCTTATTACAGAAGTTATTAAACAGGTTATCTCAGTGAACCACCACATAGATCTGGTATGTATCACTGACTGGTGGCAACCAGCTCTTTTAATTCTATAGGCTACACCATGTAAGAGCAAATCACCTTCTTATTACAGAAGTTATTAAACAGGTTATCTCAGTGAACCACCACATAGATCTGGTATGTATCACTGACTGGTGGCAACCAGCTCTTTTAATTCTATAGGCTACACCATGTAAGAGCAAATCCAAGGTACATAAGACACACTGGCTCAATATTCAAGCATGAAAAGTGATTTTGGGTGACATTAAACCAAATATGGTGTCACCAAAATAATCTTTCACTTGCCTCAAGACAGAGCTATTGGCAGGAATAAATCCGGATGTAAAACAACCTATCCAGTGCAAGCAGCTGTGAGATGTGGCCTGTAGAAAGAGATTAACAGGACTCAGGTCTGTGGGAGGGAGAGGAGCCACACTGATAAGGAGGTACTGCCTCCTCCTCCTCCCCAACCCTGCAGACAAAACTACACACACCAGCCACATCTTAGCAGGAGAAGAATCTAGTAAAGTGGGACATGCAAYCTAAAAAGTGATTTTGAATCCCCTACATTCAAATTGCAGGCCCAAAGATCTATGGGTCCACTCTGTCCCCTGGAAAATCTGCAGATGGGCTGTGTTAGCTGGCCTTCACTCTCCTTGTAGTGAACATATCTACACTGACAAATGTGGTTTGGTTGACGTGCCTGGCACTTTCCACCTCCACCCCAGTGTTTTTCCACACTAGGGAGCAAAGATTATAAGAGCATCAAGGCCTGGTTTTCTGCCATTCTTGGCAATTTCTTTTCTTTCTTTTCTTTTTAATTTTAAGAGAGAGAGAGAGGGGAGAGAGAGGAGAGAGAGGGGAGAGAGAGGAGAGAGAGGGAGGGAGGGAGGGAGAGAGAGGGAGATGGGGAGAGGGAGAGGGGGAGAGGGAGGGAGGGAGGGAGGGAGGGAGGGAGAGAGAGGGAGAGGGGGAGAGGGAGAGAGGGAGAGGGAGGGAGGGAGGGAGAGAGAGAGAGAGAGAGAGAGAGAGAGAGAGAGAGAGAGAGAGAGAGAGAGAGAATATTTTTTGATATTTATTTTTCAGTTTTTGGCGGAAACAATATCTTAGTTTGTATGTGGTGCTGAGAATCAAACTCGGGCCGCACGCATGCCAGACAAGCGCGCTACCGCTTGAGTCACATCCCCAGCCCTGGCAATTTCCATTAACTGGAGATTTCTGTCCCACTTAAACTGAGATTCATAGACAGTTATATAACATCACTGACAAAGTTCACTGGAATTTAGGCCTAATTTCTATTTTTCTTTAGTAATTCCTAGAGATTCTAAAGTATAAATGTCTTTTAAATAAGGCTGCAAGACTCAGGAAGGAAATCTGGTTGAGGTGATTAGCAAGTAGCTGAAAGGCTACTAGTTAGGATTGTGATGTCCCTTTCTTGTCAAGCATCAGATTTGAAGCTTTGGTGCACATGGAGCAAGAAAGCCCCAGGTGACTAGAAGGGACAGTGCTCAGGGCTCAGGTGAAAGCATCTCACAGGGCTGAGAATCTCTAGGGAGGGAGTACCATGTCCCTATCTTCAGCCTAGGAGAGGCATATCAGGCAGAAGAGAGAAGCTGACAAAAGCCCTCTGGGCAGTGCTTTGCCAGGTGACTGCCTGTGTCCAGGAGCAGACCTTTCATGAGGTTAATGAAGCTCCAGCTTCAGGTCCCCTCACTCAAAAGAGACAAAGCAATACATCCAATGAATGGGTACTGGGGTGTGTGTGTGTGTTTAAATTGCAAAAAAAAAAAAAAAAAAAAAAAAAAAAGACATTTTCTTTTAAAACCCCCAAACACCACATAATAAAGCTTCAGGCCAATGGAGAACTGTATCCACCCTTTGTAACCACTTACTATTTTATTTATTGGTAGTAGTGGAAGTTGGAAAAACGATAAGCAAACTATCAACTGTACCTTTACCTCAACCTCAGTTTGTCATTTCAAGAGAAGCCACCAGGCTGAACAGCTAAAGAATCTATTTCTCTTCAGAAGAAGAATGTGGTAGACAAATTCCACAGGCAGAAACCCTTCCCCATCCTCTTTTGCCTATGGACTACAGCAAGGGAACAAAACAATGTAGCAATGAATACTCAGGCAGCCACCACCAAGCTTTGCAGGATCTAATCTGCTATACTGGCTTATTTTGTTTAAAAAAAAATAAAGCAAATTGTTTTCTTTTTTTACTCAAAATACATATACTAAAACAGAAAATAGCCACAAAAATGATGCAAATACACATATTCCCTCACTGTGAAGTCAGGAGGTGAATATATAGGCTAAGTACCAAACCCGTAAGTCTATTTCAGGTAAATGAAAACTTCCTTCCCTCCTCCTTGGTACTATCAACTGACTTTCCCTATTTAACTGTTGAATGCATGCAAAGGAGCTCCTGAGGAATACATACACCTTAGACSAAGCTGCATCCAGACTGGTGCTAGTCATGTTGTATCTCTAGAACCTACCATATTATTTGAGGCATACAAGGCATTTAGTAGGTCTGTTGATTGAATCAAAATCAGTTAAGACACATATTATTAAACTGCATTACTGAGGCAAATGCTTAACAATCCTAGAAGTAACCATCCAAGTAAAAAGAGTCAGTTGGCAGGGCCGAGATGTTAGCAAGCTTGAACAAAAGAATCGCAGTGTATTTCATGGCAAAACAGAAGCCAAGAATTATTCAGTATAGCTTGATACAGTGAACTTTTATACTGTAAGTTTAGAATGTTCACAGATGGATATAACCTCTACAAAGAAAATGGAGGTTCTGTTTAACTTGTCCAAAAACATATTGTCACTAAATGGCAAATTGGGACTGTGATCTAGGTATTCTGCTTCCAATCCCTGTACTCCTCCCTCCTCACCACCAAGGACTCTGGAGTCTTGGTCTGGGGATGTGMTTTTACTTGGCTTTACATCATAGAAGCATCTCTGTTATAATCCCTTCCAAACCCAGGCCACCATTTCATAAAATGCATATAACAAAGAAAGTATAAAGGAGGGTTCAACCCATCACTGCTCTTGAGATGAACTTCAAGGCACAAAGTCAGGTCAAGCAGTAGTTGCCCCAACTTACGAAGAGGTAACTTACTAAGAATATAGGCCTCCACCTGGCCCCTCCAAATTAAAAACTACTACTTTTAAAACCTCGAGCTTTGCTTTCCATTTTATTTTATTTTTGGTAAAGTTCACCACCATGCATTTTGCTCTCAAGGTTCTTCATCTATCCTATTGCTGAACTTAAGGACTAATTTCCATCAATAATCAGTAAATTTCATCAATAATTACTTCATGCCAGAAAGGCCACACAGTTTATAAGGATTATCATTCCCCAGAGTTTCTTCCTTTTTAAAGTATGGTTTGGCTTGAATTAAAAGTTTACTAACCAAACATTTTTTACATGACTTGTCCTCCCTTTCTTTCCTCTCCAGTTTTTTCTTCCTTTTAGCCATTACTTTCTTAGTCCCCCTGACACCTAATGTGTGCCTTGACCATTCTATAGGAATGTCTCTCAAAAGGCTACAGATTAGTCAYTTCTTACTAAGTGCAGACCTTCTTAGGACTCACACCACTTTGACTCCTATGAAGCTGAATACTTTCATCAGAAAACAAATTTGCTAAGCTTTCAGTACTGCAATTCCTCCAGCGCTTCTATTGTTACATCCTGTCTTGGTCTCTGTTACCCACCTGTGACAATACTGTGGTGATGATCATGATGATATTAATCATAACAGCTAACATTCATATGGTACTTACCATGTCCTTGGGATTGTTTGAACCATCAACCATCATTCCATGGAGTAAGTTCTATAATTACTCCATTTTACAGATTCAGAAACAGGAGAAAAGGCAGGGCTGGAATTCAGTCTCAGACTGGGCCCCCAAAGCCTATACCTATGCTTTGAACCATTCTATTCCACTGCCACACATAAACCCAAGGGTCTGCCTTCAGTGTCTTTGGAAACCCAATTTTTCTCACTACTTTAACTGCACTAAAATGAATGAATGATATTCCCAAATATCCTTCAGTCTCCCCAGCCTAGTCAATTAACACATTCTGCAACATAGGTTGCAAACCCCGTTAAGGCAGAGCACAAGTGTAGGCTTGTGAGGAACATGGACTCCAACACAGATTATGTGTTCAACAAAGCAGTAAGGAAAGGTGACATGATTGTGTGTGTGTCTGTTTGTCTAAAGTTGAAAGTAATTCACACCATGAGAAGTACTTCAATCATAAAGGAGGTGGGAAGGGAGAGATTCTTTCTGAGTAAGACTTTATGGACATGGCACTATAAGCTAGATTTGAAAAGTTATTTAAGATTTAGATTTATATTATGTTAATATTCCTAGGACTTTGCTTCTTCCCTTCCTGAAGTGTTTCAAAATTAATGTGTGAGACTCCGTATCACAAAGYATGAAAAGGTAGGGCAAATTACAGGGTAAAGTTCA